CAGGCAGGATTAGAGCTGGTCTGCATGAAAGCCAAGTGGTGGTATTTCAAGGCAGTGAATCTATTTAAATGCACAATAAAACACAAAAAAATCCAAAATGGCCACATATAAATATGCTGCTGTTAATTTCTAAATCCTGCTGAACAGAAAAACAGTATTTCCATTTTTATGCTCTCCCCTCACCCCGTTGCACATCAGAGGGAGGTAAAAAGTGAATTAACCGTATCATAGGCACATGGTACTTCCCTGCTCAGATTACACCACAAAATCTAGGCAGTTCCTTTGGAATGGATGTGAGTTGAAAGCAGCACTTGGAAACAGAGGACCAGTAATATGACTGGAGACAAAAGGTTATAAGAAACTGTAACTATAGCCACAGGTCTGTAAATCTACCCACATGTGCATTGTAATAGTTAACTAAACGCATCTATTAGGTTTATTATTGCATAAGAATTTTAAAAATCTCTTGGTTTAGCTTTGGTTTTGCTACATATTGTGATTTGCTGGTTCTAAAAGTATATATTGCTGTCGTCTTTATTCCTAGGCTTTGTTCTTAAGATTTACATCTCAGCATTTAAAGTTATTGTTAAGTTTGTTCTGTCTGACAAGGTTTGAAAACTTTTAGCAGATGTAAAATGATTTAGTGGGTATTTTTAGCTATTGACTGTAAAAAACTATGGTGAAGGTTGCATACAGAGTCTTTGCATTCTACTTTTCTGCAAGGTATCTCAGATGCAGAAAGAAGTATTTGTATTATTAATTAGATCTTAAATTGGTTTATGCATTCTTTTTAATGAGAAGCAATTGCTTTAGATGCTACGTCTGGGCTTTGGGTTGAATTAAGCAATGTCTTTTAAACTTTACATTCTTAGAGAAAGTTAAGTTTGCTTTTGTTGGTACAAATCAAGGAGGAGTTGTGATTCAGTGTGACAGATTGAATGTGAGCCATATGAGACTGACAGGGTCAGGCCCTTATAAAAGCTGATTGCCTGTGTTACAAAATATCAGAGAATAATTTAGATTCTGACAGTGTCGAGTGCTTCATGAGCTTTTTTCCTTTCCTCATTCCATTGGCTCGTGTGATGAAAAATGCTTGGGAGCAGTCATTTCTTTGCAGAATTTCTTGTGATGTGAATTCTTAAGGAATCACAACAGCTACAAAGAGTGCAGAGTAAGCAAGGGATAGTATTTTCAGTTGATGGTCATAGCTGAATCACTTCAGATCAATCAAAATTAGCTATGTTTAGGGGTTTTTTTTCTGCATTAGGAAACATGCTATGAGACACAGCATACTCCAAGCACCAGTCTTCTCTTAATAAGGATTACATTTTCACTGTGGCATGTGATGAAATGTAACTCGCACGACTCTCATTAACACTGCTTACAGAAATTGCATGTTCACTCTGATGAACAGTTGTCCCTAAAAAGACCATAACAATGAATCGATTTGCTGCCTCCCTTTTGCTTTTAGCAAAGTGTGTGTGTGTGTATTTGCAATCTTTTGATGAATAGATTCTCTTCCAATCTGATATTTCTTTTTTAGAATGGAGTAATTGTCTTCATTATGTAGAAGACAAATGAAAGACATTGTTTTGCAAGTCCTATTGCTGGTTAATCATGAGGTCTCTTGATAGCACATTTTTTTCTGTTAAACTTCACATAATCCTCCAGGAGCTGAGACAATGTTAGAGCCGATTGTGAATGGAGGATATTGATGTGTGTGTGTACGCTAGTGAGAAGCAGAAAGTGTGCATTCACACGTGTTTCTTGCATACAATATAACAGATGCATCAGAATATAAGAGAATTAATCATCTATATTATAAGGCATTATAAAGTTTTATAGGGGAAGTGAAGCTTTGTCAGCAATTGCCTGAGCTGTCCTTGTATTAAATGTGTGTTGGGCAGACAGCAGCTGCCCTAATCCTGCAGAAGGGCAAAGGAAATCAGGGTCTGGGGAAAGGGGGTTTCAAAGGAGACCCTAAGAAAGAAGGAGGCAGTGGGTTCATAAAGCAGCATATCCAGGATGGAGTTGAATAAGATAGTCGGAATGCTAAGAAACATAAAAGAATGAGAAAAAAGGTCAGAGCTAGAAGAATCAGGTGGGAGAAAATCTGTAAGAGAATGGACACTGAAGATAGGACTATGCAGCCAATTCATGAGAAAAGGTGAGACAGGCCAAAGTTCACATACTGATCTGAAATAGGTGTTCAGCTCTTTGACTTCAGTATTTAACCAAAGATCTAAACCAGGCTTCCTCAACCTCAGCCCTCCAGATGTTTTTGGCCTACAACTCCCATGATCCCTAGCTACCAGGACCAGTGGTCAGGAATGATGGGAATTGTAGTCTCAAAACATCTGGAGGGCCAAGGTTGAGGAAGCCTGATCTAAACTGTAGTGTTACATACTAATAAATCTCTACCTACAATATACTATCATAATGCATAACAGATTGAGGGTCAGCTAGAGAACTGGCCAATTTGTATCTCCACTGAAGTTACAGTAGCCATCCCTGTGCATCTTAAGCAGTACAGTATATGAATTCTTAACCAAGAGACAAAAAGACAACTCCTGATATTGGTTTATTATGAAGGATGTGCTAGCAGAAGTCATCCGATTCATTCTTACCTCATTTTTGTAAGAAGCTGTCCAAATTCTGTTCTTAATTTATGGAATGGTAAATAGTTCCTGGTCCTATTGTGCCCATCTAGAAAGAACAGATGGTAGTTTAAACAAGTTCTGCTATGGGATAAAATGTTCCAAGTCTTTGACAGATCGTATCCATCTGTATGGAAGAAACAGGGTTTGTGTAAAGTAAACAAGATAAATTCAAAGAATTTAAATTCTGTCTTGAAAAAGGGCTGTTTGTGGTTCTGTACCTCAAACATTACCCAGTCCAAAGGCATTATGTACACTTAAATGTGCTATTTTTGTCAGATAGGCACAAACAGCAAGGCGCAAAACACCAAGAACCCGTAGAACAGTGGAGAACAGTGGTCACTGCCCAGGATAATAAGCTCAGAAACTAATGATCTATTACAAGCAGCCAAAAAACCAGATGTTCTTTATTTATAGAAATACATCTGTATATGAGGCTAATTGTTGCATTTGTTGACCCAACTGGCTAAGAGTTTAGCCCTAGCCAGCGCAATATATATCAGCTGAGTTAAAAATATACAAAAATATAAGAAGTGCCCTACTAGATTGGACCAAAGACTTAGGAGCTTGGTTTGTTCAAACATAGGAATAAGGACCATCTGTTTACTCTCTTGTGTAGAAGCTGACCTCCAGATGTTACTGAACTACAGCTCCCATTTTCCCTCAACACTGGCCAGGCTGGCGGGGGATGGAGTCCAATCACATTGGGAGAGCATCATATTGACTACTGCTGCCTGGTGGGTGCTCATAAACTAGGGTCTTACTGGGTGTTGACATTTCCTCAACATCTAGTTAGCAGCTTGTTAGTAGGTCTATCCCAATTTGGTCTTCGGCTTTTTCTACATTTGTATTCCAGAAATGCTACACTGGGCAAGAATGGTATTGCAGCTAAGGGTTCAAAATATGTAATATTTAACATTTTATAGGCAAGCATGACCCGCCCTCCCCGGGTCTGTGTACCCCAGGCTATGCATGGACCCCATCAAACAATTTATATATTTATGTAATATGTGAAAGTGTCCACTTAGGCCTTCCACTTCCACTAAAGAGCTACATCAGGTCCTCAGAGGGCTTGTGCTACCATTAGCTAGAGTGCTTTGAGGTGATGTGGAAGGGCAGCAAACTCTGAGTTATATATATTGGGCCCCGCCCTGGGCTCCCTCCCTCCCTGTCAGTAATCACTGTCTATACTGTGATTCTAATAAATCAAAATGTAATCTAGAACAAATGTTTGATTCTTATCACTGGGGAAGAAGATGTGTTGCAGACATATATAGAGTATTAATTTTATTGATAACATATGGTGCTTTCTATCAGATTGAAAACTGCATCTTCTTGAAGGCCTTTCTTTTCATGTCAGTTGTTTCTTCATGTTTCCTTCTGTTGCATTAATTTTTACTGGCTCTGTTATCTGTTGTCTACGGACTGTGGGCAACGTGAGTGGATTGCTTGAGCATTAGCTCATTTTCTTGCTTCCTTGTAATAATGAGTTATATTCCCTTGCTTAATCCCGCTTGCGTTTATAATTTTCCTTTACTGGAAAACGAATAAGAAGTTGCTTGTTTTCAAAGGAATGAAGAATTGACAAAAGTAGAACATTTCACGCAGTGGCTACCATGCTCAGATGACTTGCCTTCACCCATTTATGCCAAGAGGTAGGGATATTGTATCATACATTTGGGCTTGTACTTGTCTAGGAGACTGTAACTAAATAGGACAGTAAAATGCATGTATGGAGGTTGCTCGTATGCCTCATAACTTTCCTGGCAGCTCTGTAGTAAAAGGCCTCGGAATGACCAATAACTGCATCTCCCTTCTATCCTGAATGGATGCTAGCAGTCAGACTTGGAAAACCTTACTGGCCCATGACAGATTTTACACAGGAGTTTTTCTTCTAGTTTCTCTCACAGGAGTTTCTCTCTTGTCCATCTCTGTCCCCTGACCACACCCAAACCCTATGATATTAATGGGTCAGCCTACCCACAGTTGACTGAGGTATGTGAGGCTCATCTCGGCCAGCTGACCTCTGGTTGAATGTTACTGCTGTGGATTTGCTGTGTAGGCCTGTCACTTAGGACCAACCTTGAGTTTGAGCTTTGACAAAATGACATGAAGGTTCCTTGGTGATGAATTAAAATCTGTTGGAGCTAACTGTTGTTGGAAGATGGCTTTTTGATACACAGTTCTCTGTGGACTGTTCGGATCCGTAAAGTCAACAAGCGTCAAGCTAGATGCGGACTTAGGCACAATGGTCCTGCCCCAGAAAAGCAACAACAATAATGATTCAGGTAGGTAGCCATGTTGGTTTGACGCAGTTGAAATAAATTTAGAAATTTAAAAAATTGTCCAGTAGCACCTTAGAGACCAACTAAGTTTGTTCTGGGTATAAGCTTGAAGAAGTGTGCATGCACATGAAAGCTTATATCCAGAACAAACTTAGTTGGTCTCTAAGGTGCTACTGGACAATTTTAGTAGGATAAGGAAGGCATCTGTGAGAATATTCCTGGCTATAAGGGCATACAAGATAGTGCAAGATTCCTAAAACAGCCAATTTCATCTTTAAAAAGATTTTGTGATATTAGGGGGTGCTTGGGACCACTTTTCTGGCTCCAGGAGAAGAAATAAGGATAAATATAGAAGGTAAAGCTTTTTGGACAGCACAGACCAAGTGATTAAGAAATGGGTATTGGATATGAGTCATATTTCTTCATGTAGTGAAATGTTTAAGAATTGCTCTGCAGTTAGGTTCTAGAAATAGGTATTGCACAGAACATTTGGACCCATGCTCAGACTTGTGCTTAAGTGCTCGTTCCTTTCGTTCAGTCTGTTTCATCTGGTATTTATGTTTGAGCAGGAAATAATACAACTTGGGGCAATGAGACTAGCCACAGTAATACAACATTTGATGGACAAGGGCCTTCACTTTAGCCTTTTCTTTTCATTTGTTAATAAAGTACAGCACAACCCATTTGGTACAGGACTGGTTTGCAAGCCACATGTTACTTATGGAAAAGACCACAATAACTTCCTGTGGTAATAAGGGAACATAATATATAATTTACAAAAGAAACCAAAACAGATATTCTAATGTGATTCTGGTTTATGGGGGAAATCTGGTATGAAGCTCCAAGCTCATTAAGATCCTGAGAACCACACAAATACATCAAGGGCATAATGTGACTGTAAGTATTTCCCCCAAATTCCCAGAAAGACTGGCCTTTGCAATTACTGCGCATAGATTCCATGTAGTATACAAAAACCCAGACCTCAAGGGTTTGCAAATTGAATTAAGATAATGAAGCAACCTACATATATTGGCTCTTTTCCAAAGGTTAGTTACAATGCATACCTAACCTGTCTACCCAGAAGTAAGTCCTATTGAAGTCAATGGGGCTTACCCCCAGGAAACTGAGGTTAGAATTACAGTCTTAGCCACCAGACAAACCCACAATTTTGTAGCTTGTAATTCACAAGCATTACTTCCTTACCCCCATGTGTCACGTGGCACCCCGCTTTGAAGACTAACTTTCAAAAGCAGTTTATTGTAAGTGATTGAAGCCTGATATTTTGTGAATAGTAAATCTCCTAGGCATCTCTAAGCCCATCTAAAATAGCATACTGGTTCCCAACATGTGTCCTGGTCTGCAATAGCCCCATGTAAGATAGACCTGGTGCATAACATAGATTTTCATTAAATTCTCATTTTGCCGCTGGTGCTGGTCCAATTTCAACTACTTGGAGATCTCTGAATGCCAGATTGGTGACTGACATCTCCAACTGGCTGAGCCCTCCAGCTTTCTTAAGCAGGTAAGCAGAAGAGCTTATTTAATGTATTTAATATACTACCTTTTTCTCCAAGGTGTACATGGTTCGCCCCACTCCTCAGTTAATCCCTAGAATGACCCTGTGAGGTAGTTTAAGAGACTATGACCGGCCCAAGGTCACCCAGTGAGCTTCATGACTGAGTGGGGATTTGAACCCAATCTCCCAGGCCATAGGCCAACGCTCTAACCACTACATCACCCTGGCTTCCTAGAGTACGTCTGTTATGGGGCAGCTTTATCATTGTAGTTAAATAAATATAGGAAAAGAAAAATGTTACTTAGAGAAGGATCTATATATTTTCCTTGAAGCTTGAATTTGATTTATTCTGGACTGTTTTGTTTGTTTATTGCTTTATTTATTTATTGCTTTATTTTATTTAATGTGCTGTAAACCGCTTCTAGGTTTTTTCTTTAGAATACAAAGTGGTATAGAAATGAAATTAATAGTAATAGTAATAATAAATTCCACAGCAGAAAAAGGCACCTAGACATTCTGTTGTGGCGACCATAGCCTAGGTTTAAGGAGTCATTTGGTGATTAGCTTATATATCTGAGTTTCTAACACTTCCATTAAAACCCTTTCCCCAAAGCATGTATATTTATAAATGTTTTGGATTGGGTGATCCTGAATATAGGGGGAAAACAATATTTTAAATTCCAGTAAAGTTAAGCAGCTTAAAAATAAATTTTGTCACCAAGATCTGCCCACTCAATCTTGCCCTGCACTTCCCATCCCAGAAGCAAGTTGGTTGTAGAATGGTTGTAAGTTGTAGAATGCTTCCAAAGGTTCTTCAACTGGTTGCTTTCCAAAGAGAGGTACTCCCACTAGAAAGCACATAACATTTTGATCTTTTCTACCTGTATATCTTGAGTTAAGGCACTCCTTTCATCAGTCTTACCCTCAGAAAGCATGTGAGATGAAGGAAAGAAAAGTGAACATGATTGTGTAGTAGGTTTCCACCCTACAAAAGTTGAAGAAACAACTGCACCCTTCAATCACTAAATAAACATGATTAGGAATAAAGTCCCACTTCAAAGGGGGAAAGTTTTTTTTTCTTAAAAAAACCCCCTGTTTGGTATATCCAAACCCTTGAGCACTTCTAAAGTTATTCTGTTATGGTAGAAAATGTCTGTTAAAGAACTGGGAAGAATCTTCAAAGTGGGGAAGAATGGAGAGCAACAGACCCACAAAGATTGACCCAGTGGTCACACATGTCTCCACAATTCCTGAATAAATATTACAATGTTGTGCCCACCATACTACTTCCATTACTTTATGGAGAGAAGACCATTTCACAAGATTCTCTCCAGATGTTCCCTGTGTGCCAGCCTTTTTCATACATCCATCAAAATGTGCCGATATCTGGGACTATGTCCAGAGCGCAAATAATAGTAACAATAGTAACAACAACAACTTCTTCTTCCTCCTCCTCTTCTTCTTCCTCTTCTTCTCCTCCTCTGTTTAATTTGTATACTGCCCTTCATCTGACGATCTCAAGGTGGTTCACAGCATAAAATGTCTGGGATGTAGCTAGCTGGTATTCTCCATGTACATTAGAAACATTGAGGAGAATAAATGAAAGGGGCGGAGTCCAGAGTGTTTAGAATTCAAATCAGTTCTCATAATGGGAAATTTCTGAATTGTAGTGTAGGATTCTACTGTAACGAATGGATAGTGTAGCAAAGAATCCTTCTTGGGCCCATCACATACTGCGCAACTGTCCCATTTAAATTGGGACATTCCAGATTTACAGAAGCCACCCTGGCTTCTGACCCCAATCCCAGGTGTCCCATTTTTCACCCTGTGCTGTGGCGCAAGTAAATTGGCTCACACCAGAGTGCAGGACCAAAAGACAGAAGCAAAACTTACCCTGCCCATCCCCCCCCTCACCAGTGTTCTTCCTCCTTCCACCGTGCCTTTCCAGCCAACATTCTTCCAGAAGCCAGCACCACACTGGCTACACTGGTGGCAGTGACCATGGCAGTGGTGGCTGAATGCAGTGCATAAAGATGCAAGGGAGGGAGCTAGAGTGAGAGGAGGGATGCCCGTCAAGGTTGTGTCCCAATTTTCCTCACTCCAGTGATGGAAGGTATGCCATTAATTTTGGGTCTATTAATTATGGTAGGTCTACTCTGAGCAGGACTTAGACCTTCATTTGTTAGCCCGCATTCAGCCTCCCTCCCCCCAGCTTCTAAACCCTTGTTAAGGTTTCATTGGCATCTGATGGAAAAGAGAGAGAGAACTGGGAGATGTTTGCATATTGTTGACACCGTAGTTTAAATCCCTCATGACAGCTTCACACACACAGTTCTTTATTCAAAGTACAGCACACTGAAAAGCAAACATGAGTTACATGGGAGAATCTACAGCTGGTGATATTGTTATTTCTGAATGGCAGCATTTTACATCAAAGAGAAAGGCATGCATCTATGTATCTTAACGAATCAAATTAATTTCATTATCTTTTATGGAGAGATTCTGTACGAGCTTTTGACTGATGGTTAATGGTTGCAGACTCATTAACAGCATGACAGATTTAAGCTTCAGTTTCAAAGATTTTGCTTCCATTCCTGGAGGAAAACTAGAAAGTACTGTTTCTCAGCATGTTTGGGTTTTGTGTCATTAAAAACTCCCCTCTTCCTGAAACATTTGTCTGAATTCAATTTGTTTGAAATCTGTGGTAGTGATTAACATTTCAGTCTGAGTATTTCAAAGACGTGCTTCAGCTTGTCCTGCATTAAAACAATAATTTTTCGCCTCCAGCTAAATGACATTAATTGGTATTTATATATTATTATTAGGAAAGTTTGTTTTGTCAATTGAGTTTCATAGTAAACTAAACAAGCTGCTGGTGTGAGTGGAAAAGCCAGATGCATTTATGCCACATCTTAATTTCCAAGAAACAATTTAACCCATTCAGCTGTTATGCCAACTCACCCAATGCAGTTAAACTGTGGAATTTAACTATGTATTGGGTTCCACAAGATGGCCACCAACTTGGTTCACTTTAAAAGGAGATTAGATAAATTCATGGAGGATAAGACTGTCAGTGGCTACTAGCCATGATGACTTTGTGCTACCTCCAGTATCAGAGGCAGAATGCTTCGAAACATCAGTTGCTGGGGATCATGAGTAGGAAAGGGTTATTGCGGTTGTGTCCTGCTTGCTTACTGTGAGACTAGAATGCAGGACTTCGAAGGATCCTTCTTGCGTTATTAAGTAAAGGCTCAGTATCTATGTTTAGTGCCAGAGCTCGCTGTCTAATGGAGAACAGATACTGTCAAGGAAAGTAGGCTGGAAGGTGCGCAGCTCAAGTTACTTGCTCCTTGAAGCAGAGCAGCAATAGTCTCCCCATCTGCAAGTCATGGTGCATAATGCCCAAGGCCAGCCAAGTCATTTTGGCTCCTGAGACAGATCATTCCACTTAGCAGCAAATTGCTGGTTATTTAATTTACTATTTCATGACATCTCAAATCAGATGCCTTAGGGGTGGCTGCCTCACTATATCTAATGGTAGGACAGGTCCCAGCTATAAGGGTAAGCAGAGATGTGAAGTCTAGGACTTGTACTATATCTATATTTGTCATTCAGAAGCCAAATGCATCTTTTCTCTAAAAACAAATAACAGGTTGAAGATTTC